TAAGGCAGGTATAGAGTGCACAGGAAATAAGGGTGTTGAGGAAAAGAAGTTTGATAAGGAAACAAGTTTCATGAAACAAGTTTCATTTCTTCACCTTGAAGAAATCAAGCTGGGAAATGGAGATAAAGCAAGCCTTGTTTGAGTGCTGGATCAAGCCTTGCTTGAAGTCATTTCATTTCTTTAGTTAAACTAAATCTATACTATTTTCTGAACATATATGTTAAGGAGAAAATTATGGTTTTTTTTAGGGAATAAACATGTTTGTTAGAAAATGTGAGAAGCCAATAAATAAAAGACTCCTTATAATTTAAGCTGGTTTTTAGTTTTTTCTTTTCTTTTCCCTTCCCCTCCTCCCTCCTCACCCCACCCTTCCCCTCCCCTCCCCTCCGCTCCTTCCTTCCTTTTTTCCTTCCTTCCTTCCTTGCTTCCTTCCTTCCTTTTCTGTTACTGGCAACAGAGAACATTCTTACTGCTATGTGGAATGCCTGCTATTCCAACTTTGACTACAACCAGCTTTTGACCTCAACAAATTAAAACATTTTAATTTGCTGTAGATTACATGTTTGTTTTACATATGTATCCATTATGTACATGCAAATATACATTGTGTATATGGCTGGCTACATCATATATAGGAGAGTTTGGAGCAGGAGGCTTAATGGATAGTGGTATTAATTCAGTTTGAAGACCTCTTGAGGAAAGTGCCACCTTCATTTGTCCTTTTATATTTCCTGGTCAGGGTCTTATGTGTAATGCCACAGTTTTTCCTCTATATTATATAAATCTTGCTCTGATTCCTGCTTACCAAGGCGAGCAGAGAGTACAATACTGGTAATTTTTCACCTTATCTTTTTTTATCACTAAAATTTAAAATAGTCCTAAGGCTACAGGGGTCCTGGAAACAAATCCCTCAATCTGTATTTACCTGTTCCCTGCTTCTTCTAATGCTGCTTGGGTGATGGTCTTCGGCCCCCTCTTTGGTGCTATGGTACTGTTTAAGACGATGTTGGTTTGCAACCTTGGGAATTTCTCAGGTAAAATCTGACACTGGCCCCCACCCATGGAGGGCAAGGAGAGACCGAAGGAAGAGTCAGGCACCTCCTGGTTGGGAGGTGGTGGTTTTAATAAGCAAGAGAACATATACGAGGCTTGCCTTCGGTGGCCATAAGACAAATAGATCTTTGCACTTGCCCACTACAATCTTAAAATTTGTATAGAGGTCTCAACGGAGTTCAGTCACTTACACTGTCTGGACAGTTGCAACTACTCATTGCTCTCTCAATACTGCATTGTTAAAAACAGCTCCCATGGTGGGAGTGGTGGATAGAACGAGCATTCCAATAACAGGGAAGGGGTCAGGAGCCTTCGATTGCCTAGGTCTGGCTTGAGGGTCACCTGGTCATCATGTCCTCTCGATGATATCCTCCAACAGTTGTCTGGGTCCTGCCCAGGTTGTTGTGTTCCTAATGGAGGTTGGTGGCTGCCCTACTGGCCTTAAACCCTAGGGGCTAACTCAGTCTCCTTACCTGACTTTCAGTGCCATGACCCTTGATACTGGCTTTCACCACCATCCATTAAATCAAATCCAAATGATGTTCTGCCACCTTGGAGGCCTAAATCTTCGTATCCTCCATGAACCTAGAAGCCCTCGCTCTATCGAATCCCTTGCTTTAACAAATTCCCAGGAGTAGGGCTACCCCCGTCTCTTGCGTGGAAGTACAGACTCTTCTTCTTTGCCTCTGAGATTGCTTAGTTTATTTCTTTGTTCAAGGCTTCCTTGTGAGAACCACACTTGAACAAAAGGTACCCAGAACACAGGATAAAAGTCTGGTTGTGAGGTAGAAAGGAAATATTCCTTTTTATTTTGCCGATGAGAACACAGCAGCAAAAATCCCCCCAAGAAACCAAGCAGTTTCTCCATACTTCTCCCTATTACACTTGCCTCTTTTTATTTTCCACTACATATGTGGGGTCATCATATATTTTTAAATATGCTTTTAGATCATTAATCTTGCTAGAATTTTATAACATCTTACTGGCCTTAAACCCACTGTATTTCCAGGAAAGATTCTGAGGTTTTAGGGCATTTCAGTTGACTTTAACCAGCATTTGTAACAGCCAGTCCTTGTGTCTTCCAACACCTCTATAGGCTCGTGTACCATCTTAATGCTTCTGCTTGTTCTAAGATTCATTTTCCAATTACCTTGACCTTATCAAAGGTGATGGTCCATACAGCCCAAGACAAATTTTATTAATATAAATATACACTCATATTCATAAATATATCTATGGTTAAAATAAAAGTCACTTATGACCTTGTCGGGAATGTACCCACCTTCTCAGTGATGCCCTTTTACTCTTGTTGACCTATAGGACTGTCTTCACTCAGTTATTTACTGAAACTCCTCTAAAGGAAAGTGTGATAAAATTTTGAATTCTGTGATCTACAGAGAAGGTGGCATATAATTTATTACCCAAACCAGTACACTTAAGAAATGAAGGGGGCATTTGAATAATTATGTCAGGACAACAGTTATAAGCCACTGTTGTCCCAGGCAGACCAAATATATGGTCATATTATAGGGCAGAGACAACACATTTTCGTGTGACATCCTCAGGTAACACTGAGGTTCCTGATCTGATTAGCTTGATGAGAAGTCACTTACGCCAGCAGCCAACTGATGGCAATCTATGCATATGTGTTTCTAGCAAGAGGATGGACACCCAGTGAGTTAACCTTGAAGTAACTTATGGGGAATTTTTATAATGTGATTCGACTGAACGTTGGAGCCACACCAGTGGTGTCCTTCATATATTGCAACACTTTTATTATGCGTCACAAATGAATTTCAGGCCAGGTTAACCTGCCATTTTGTTCTAATGACTCTAATGACTGAAATTAGTGCCAGACAATGAGCTTGACAATCACAGCATAAATGGTACTGTCACATTTCCCTTTTTACTAACTTTGTGTTATTTCAGCCAGTGCACAGTTAATCTACTATGTTTTATTTGCAAAGCACTCTTCAATCGCCAGCATTATGATTTGACTTTTAAAGTGCATCCATTAGTAATTTTTTTGACATATGCATATGTTAAGAAGGAAATTCACATTTAAATTTTCAAGGAACTCTAATTGCTGGTCTTTGCTGTTCTTCAGTCTACACTGCTGAACTAAATAAATCTTAGTTTGAAGCTGAAAGGACTTGAAGCTAAGGGAACCTTGAACAAAGAGAGCCCATGAGCCTGAGATAAGATCACATTTTCATTAATCACCCAAATAATGATGGACTTCAAACACCTTTCTACCTTGCTCTCAGCTGTATCTCTAGTACCTAGAACCATGGCTGACATGTCATCAGAACACATTCAATATTTTGCTCAACAAATGAATAATATTCTTTACAGTTTGCTTTATGATATTTATGGCATGAGTGTTTTACTTTCAAGCATTCTGTGCTTAATATCTATTTATCATATTCCTGACAACGTATTGTGTGGAGACTTGCAGATCTCTGGTTTTCCATAACTATTGATTCAGTTTATCAGCAAGTTCTGTGAAGTTGTAATTTGCTCTGCTAGTATTGTTTGCTTCAGTAGAGAGTTTTCCATGTTCTTCTTCCCTTGACTTTCAGATTTGCCCTTTGCTTTTCTTGCACAGGCCAATAAACCAGATGATGTAACCAAATCTCCTTTTTTTTGCTCTATTTAAAGTTTTGGCTAGTGTAATGTTTCTGGTTTCCAAATGAAACCTAAAGTGCTATTTTAATAAAAGTGAGGTACAAGAAAATCTTAGTAATTAAATCTTAAAAGATTTTTTCCTATCCTCAGTAACCTACATGAGAGCTACTGTCTATCCCTAGAGAGACAATTTCCAGATGGAAATATGTATATCTTTTTCATAGCCTTGACATATCATGAATAAAAAGGGAATATTTTCTCTGGTGAGAAATTCTATTATAGGATTTAAGGCCTACTTTATTTTAATTGTAGTTTATATGTGTGTATCATCTCCCTTATCATTATTTAGATAACTTCCTCAGGAATGGAAATAAGCCTAGTAGACAAAGTTGATCTTAGGAGAAGCCAGGGTGACCTACGTTCATTTGTTTCTTACTCCCATGGTTTGTCATCTCTCTCAATTTTCAGGATAGTAATGCTCTCATTTCTCTTCTCTACTGAAATGTTTCTGTATTAATTCTGATATTAGTAATTTTTTTTAGTATTCATCTATACATGTTTTCCCTCCTTGAAATATTTGCATTTTAAGATTCTTTCTTATCTTAGCATTTATCTATGTAAATGGAATTTTAGGCATCAGGGTGGAAATATCCTTTTGCTGGGAGCCACACCAAGCTCCGTAACACATGTACATCCTGCGCCCTCCCACCCCCCCATCTGACCCCTTCAACCCACACACGCTTATGCACAGGCCTGTATGCAAGTGTGGGTGTTTTAGCTGAGAGTGAGGGTATGTCGTCTGGATCTTATGGCAGACACCATATTTTTCCTTTTAAGTTTTCATGTACCTTCAACAATTGGATCTGCCTCAGTTTTGTTGTCTGGTCAGTACTGGGGGTGGGCCTATGGAAGCAAAAGGGAATTATGTGGAACTTACACAATGTCTCTACCATTTGCCCGAAGTAGCTTCAGTATACAGGAAACCAAAGACACATTAGTGAAATAGAAAATAGGTGTCAGCGCTCTAATTCCTCTTATTTTCAGGGCAGCATCATGAACGATCTCTGAACTATACTCGAGTCTCATGTTAGTATTATTTGCTCCAGGATGATACAGGGACTGTCTTGAACTTCATCCGTGATCATTTATTGACCAAAGACAGAAAGGATATTAGAGTGGTTTGACCCATAAGGCAATTCTATGGCAAAGATCTCAGAAAATAGTGAGATAAGAGAGATTCAGTAAAAGAAAGCAAAGCTGTGTGAATTGTGAGTCATGATGGACACTGATTTCTCATAATATCTTATATTGCAGGTCAGTTGCTCCGGTTAAAAATGTTTCGAGAGGATCATGGGTCATGGATGACAATGTTCTTCAGCACAATTCTGTTTCTCTTCATATTTTCTCACATATACAACACGATTCTTCTAATGGATGGGAACATGGGGTAGGTTATCTTTCCCCTTTCTACTGTGGTGAGTGTTATGTTTGAAACTCTTAAAAATTCAAAGGGAATTTTTTAGTTCATAGTAGCCTAACTCTTCACAAATATTCTACTGTAAATAAAGATAATCTGTGCATTTTTCTTACTTAAAGCATTTAGACTCTTTTCTCCAAGGAGCTTATAGCGTTCTGCGATACTTGTGTTCTTTCTACTTGAGGACTTCTCTGCGGGGTAGTTTGAGGGCAGGTAATAATTTCAGTAAAACCACAGAGAGTATGAAAATCCGGAAATCTTACTGACTTGTTTATCTCACAGTTAGTAAAGCTGGGATAAGATGAAGGTCTCCAGATTTGCAGTTTCATTGTTCTGCAATGCCTGGTTAAATAAAAGTATTTGATACTGGTGGCATTTTTTTTTTTTAAACTCTCTTGATAGTTCCAACAGAGAGACCTTTGTTATAAATGGGTCATTTTAAAAGTGGGCCACCCTGTATTAAATGCAGGGTTGTGATCTATACTTATCAAATCACTGACCAAATCACCATGGCATGAAGAGGTGCTAACAAGGAGATTGTAGGGTTTTTTTTGTTATTATTATTATTATTTTTTTTTGGTAACTTTCTTCAATTCTTGATTTGCTCTTAGTAAGTTTTAAGAACAGAATACAAGGAGGGGATGCCTGGGTGGCTCAGTTGGTT